ATTCCCACATACTTACTTCCACGGCATAGTGGAGCACTGATGAGCCAGGATGCAATGATAGGTTTTGAAAAGGTTTGATATGAGGTCTCTCCCATCCAAACTCTGAGGACCATTCCACTGTCAACATATGATTCGTGAAAACAGTTCCAAAAACCAGGCCATTTGGGTCCGGTTTTTCTTTTAAAATGGTGGTTGGTGTGATTATTAGATCTTTAGCCTGGGAAAGAAAAATCAGGATCATTAAAGAAAAGGAACTGAACATCCACTGGCTGGATGATCAAAACCAAAAACCAAACTCATTGCCATTGAATTGATTCCAACTCATAGTGACCCTATAGGAGAGGGTGGAACTGCCCCACAGTTTCCAATAGGGTAAAAAGCCAAAATCTACGTCATTGGCTATTAAATAACAAAATCACTTGACTTTTAAATGTTGGCAACTAATTCAAATATTTAACAACACTATATGAACCCAACAAGTCACGCCTGCATTCAGAATGTGGTTTGTTATTTGAAGTCTCTGCAATGTACACTGCCCGTAAGAATATCAGAACCAAAACTGAGTGACATTAAAAATAGGAACAAGATGGCAGCAAAATCATGCAACAAGGAGCACACATCCCTTCCACCACCAGATTCAAGTCGAGCATTTGGGAAAGAAGGGGTGACTTCTATAACAAAAGTAACAATACTCACAATGTCTTGTTAAACTAAAATAAATGTCATTAAGAACCAAACCTCTACCTGACGGTGGTTATTGCTCCAATTCAAAACCAACGGATTCTATTATAAGCTTTCAAAGCTTATAATAGAGACGAGGGACAGAGGGGAGGAGAAAACAGGCAGTTATTGCTTAATGGGTACTGAGTTTCTATTTGGGGGTGAAGAAAACGTTCTGGAAATAGATATTGTTTAGGGTTGCACAACATTATGAATGTAATAAATGTCACAGAATTGTACATTTTAAAATGGTTAAAATGGAAATTTTAAAGTTATATATATTTTACCACACACATACACACAAATGCTATGGGTACGCTGTCGAAGAAATGAGGAGAGTGAAGCAAATGTTTTCCTCTTTGAATACAGAGATGTTGAGAACCAACACTCAGATATAGTCCCCTGTTTCGTGCTGAGGAAACAGTGAACAAAGGACATCTTAGTCAAAGAAAGAGTAATAGGAAACAAATTCACACAGCGGCGTTCCACCAACTGTCCACAGAG